ACTTCTTTCGCTTGAGAAAAAGCGCTGATGTGAACAGGTAAAATATCATTTTAATTGGGTATCTTATAGATATTAATATAATAATTGTTGCTGACTGAAATTCTTGATTATGTTTGGCATTTTACGTATTCAAATATAGGGCAGTACCTACATGGCACCTTCTATTGGGCATTACATTACATTGATCATGATTTTGATTTTGGAGCTACCATAACTTTATTTTGGAACAAGGGACAAGTTTCTGAGGGTATATCACTTTAGTACATTTTTGTCCTTTTTGGCTTTGCTTTACTTTTCTTGCATGAGAATGTACATAGTTTTTCTTAAGGTTTGAGTGTTTTCGACGAGTAGTTTTGTCTCAGACAGAGAGTAGAAAGTAGATTTTTAAGAAGTCTTTCACTCTCTAGGGTTGTTTAACGTAAATTTCGGGAACAAGGCAAGTAGCCCCTAACTTGTGTAGTACCTACCCATTACTGTCCACTGATTTTTGACATGAGGACCTCTCAGCTGCGCCTATAGCCGTAACTAGAAGAAGATCACTGTCCAGATAAGTTTAGGTTTAGGCGTTAAAATGTTTGTAAAGCCTATCACTGTAACGCCTCCGCACGTGTACCTTGGTAAACGCCTTGCGGGGTTGAATCACGGTGTAATATTTTTATTGTGCGGTGGTAGAGCATAGGTGCTGTTTGTTGAGTTAATACATTGTGATTCTTTTTTAATATTATATTGTTTTATTTGGCTCTCTGTGTACAATTAATTAGGTTTCATCATTACTGTTAGATTCTTTTCTTTTGTGTGGTGGTCAAGCAAAACAAGTTTCGACTAACATCTCGGAGATCTGTGGCTTAATCTGTCTTAAGTTACTGACGCGCTCAACCCCCCCTTAATTAGCACGAAACTAGAAAGCTGTTTTGCATTGGCTGATGCTTAGATTTCAATTATCGTATTTCATTGATTCATTAATTGAATAAAAAAAGGAAAGACGAATCACATCACCATTTTTTATTGTTTATAAAAAAGGCGTGGCATGCTACTTATTTTTGTTTTGTTTCAGGTTCACCAGCTTTTGCCTATGGCCAGAAGATCACCAAGTGAAATCCAGGGAATACAGAACAATATCGACAACGCAATCAACAAGCACTGGAGAGATATACAGCTCCCTACTTCCAACTACAATATCTTATAACCTAATGGTAGAAACAGAGCACACAGAACTGTTATAATAAAATAGTGGTATGCGAGAGAAGTACAACAATATCACAATATCTGTCTATATTAGATTTTGAGAAATTTAATGTTTTTAGATCAGGAAAAATGAGGAGACCACATACTCAAACTCCTGAAGTGTCTTATCCTGTAACAACTCTCCATACAACTTTAAGGTAAAACTTACACTACATTGCAAGGGATAAGGCGCATTTCTGTTCTCATCGTCTGTGTATAATCATTTGTTTAATGAGCATACGACGTTTGGGGTGCTGAAACTAAGATACCGACAGCCTAGGAGCTCGTGAATAATATTGTGCTCTCATACTGTATTCTTCAAATAGGTAAGGTTTTATGTGGTTTTTAACCGAGAAACTGTATTTCGTAAACGAGTTGGTGGAGCATTGACTGAAATTCAAGTGATCACAAACTAAGTAACGGTTATACCGTGACAGGCATCATATTTGTTATATACCCCCCAAGCTAAGGGATGTCTACCAGTATTTTTCTAAACATGAGGGTTAAACGCAGTCAGCTCTAGAAGTAAAGCGACATATAGAAATGTTTTATACCATCTCATAAATTGGAAAACCGTCTAAAATAATCCTTAAACTCTCAAAGGTTTCAAACCTATTATCCTCTCTATAATAAAAAAATGTAGCATTAGTTCAAGCATAATCGAAAAAGAACTTTGAAATATTTCAAATCCTTAATAAAACCTCAGATTGCCTTGTTCCTCATGTTTAGTCCTTGGATATCTTCCCAAACTTAGGGATTTATTTTCCAAAGCCACAGTTAGGTACCTGCCGGCATGGTCTCAACCATTTGCATTGCACGTGTGTAAAAACTTTACCTTCATCATTTAAAAGAACAATACAGAGTGAAATATGCCACTCCTCCACTTTTTTTATATATGGGTTCTAAGGGAAGGCCCGTATAGGCAATATAGATTATTTTTCGAACTACACTAAAAAAATGACATGTATAACTTCAGTGGGTGATTGTAGCTAGCTCACCATCAGACGCTTATAATCAGTTTGCTAATACATTAGGATATGTTTTAACCCTTTCACTGTATCTAACACCGAACTCGTGAATTACTTCCTTGCTCGTAGGGAGACGTATGTCATTCTGAATCATTTCATTGAGAACGTGTAGTATGAGGCGTCGACGATGATTCCCTAGACCTTGCTCTGGAACCACTGAAATATCGCGATACTGCTGTTCCTCGTTGTGCCCCGTAACTGGATATCATACGTCTAAATTGGTTTCAAATAAGCAAAAAAAAAAAATTGTAGCGTAATATCTTGTTGTTCAACGGCAGTTTTGATCAGCCATCAACAATCCAATGTATATCCCTGAGTTTGCTAACCAATTGTTTGCTTTTTGAAAAAATGTGCATTTGCCATGTAAAGCTTCTGTCAAAACAGATTCCGATATAGGTTCCGTTAAAGTATTACGTCAGTACAAAAATCTCAGAGTCTGCACCGATTAACCACCTTAACCTCCCAAACTTCGAGGTGCACCCCAATCTGAGATAGAATGGGGCAGTTGTGGCTTTTGTCCGCAGCAGTGTTCTCTGCTCCAGGGGTGTTTCTTTGGAATCAGACCGGAAGAACATTCTGTGGCTTCGCCTCCACTCCAAAACATTACCCAAATTGATTTGCTGCCCTTATCGCTCTCCCTCGGACCATAACTGGAATGACCTACGTGAATACCTCGCCGTCAAGATCGACTTCCTGAACATCAACCACCGCGCTTCAGAGGTAGTTCTCGGTGATTTCAATGCCCATAATGAGCTTTGGTTGGGCTCAAACAAGACCGATGCAGCAGGTCGTGCAGTCGAGGCGTTCGCTCTTACTCAAGGGCTGACCCATCTGGTGACGAGCCCTACTTTTTTCCCCCGCGTCTCGTCACACGCCAGTAGCCTGCTGGATCTCCTTCTGACCACGCATCCTGTTGTCCCTCACAGCACTGCTGTCCTGTCCCCCCTGAGTAACTCAGACCACGCTGTTGTGGAGGTTAGGTTTCGGACACAACCCGCTGTGTCAGCGGAAAGTCGTACAGGCCGCAAAATATGGCATTACGGACATGCCGACTGGGAGGGGCTCAGAGATTTCTTTTCTATCTTTCCTTGGAGAGATGTCTGTTTCAGTGACGCGGATGCGTCGGCTGTCTGTCCTTCGATAACCGAAATTATCCACGTCGGAATGGAGGAATACATCCCCCACACGATGAAAGTTCCTAAACCAGGGTCCAACGGCTGGTTTAACAAATCGTGTGACAGTGCTCGCCAGCAGAAGATCAAGGTACACATAACCTTCTTACAAAACCCCACTGGAGAGAACAGACAAGCCGACGTCGAGTCCTGAAACAATTCAAAGGGTTCCCTGCACTATGCGGGAGGTAACATTCAAGCATAAGACCGTAACACGAGTGCTCTTGTCGCTTGATACCAACAAAGCTTCTGGTCCGGACTTGATTCCTGACATTGTACTGATGAGGTGTGCAGCGGAGATTGCTCCAGTTTTCTCGCGTCTCTCCCAGATATCTTATGAATCCGGCACCTTCTCAGAAGACTGGAAATTTGCTCATGTCCAACTCATCCCAGAAAAGGGATCTAAGACCGACCCTTACAACTACAGGCCCATAGCTCTGCTTTATGTTATAAGTAAGGTTATGGAGAGGTGCATGAATCGCGAGCTTCTGGACTACCTCGAACGTCACAGCTTGATTAGCGACAGGCAGTATGGTTTCCGGCACCAACGATCCACAGGGGACCTCCTAACTTACGTCACGCAATTGTGGAGTAAACTTATCCAGTCTTATGGTGAGGGTCATGTCGATATATAAAACAGAAGTTATTGATGGTGTTCGTAGCCAATGACTTTCTAAGATGGACTAACTTGTGTCGAGTATGATAACAGCGTTGCGTAGGAACTGCATGGTGAAACTACTTGACGCTTTTTTTTACTGGAGACCTACCATACCAAGTATCGCTGTACCCCGATCGCACCAAAAGGAAAAAGCGGCCTTAAGAAAACTGAAGCAGAGCAACAGGTGTACACTAAGCCCGTAACGAGGCTGGCTATAAATCCTCAAATTGGATCCGTCGGAGGCAAAAAATATATGCGAGTTCGCTTCCCATCCATCCGAACGGCGACAAAGCTCATTTCAATTGTTTGTCGATACCGTGCCTGATGATGCCGCCTGGCCGTATAAAATATCGACGGCGTTTTTAGGAATCTGGATTCAGGTGAGGTTTAATTTTGTAAGCAACGACCTTTCACTAATATTAAAATCATTTTGGTTTTGTTACAAAAATACTTCTAAAGATAGCTTTTAGATTAGCGTAGATCTATATAAGTGGTGTCTTCGCTAGGGTGTGGAAACAAGGACGTGCGAAAACTGAACCAAACTTACTTAATTCAAGTTTTGGACTGCCTAAGGTAAGTAGAACTGAGGAAGACCTCTTCAAGTAGATTGTTCCACCATCTCGATACCCAAGGAACAAAGGAGCGACATTATGCAGGAGAGCTGTGCGGAAAAAATCCCGTTGACCTGGCAGTAGAAAAATCCTAGATCGCCCGTCGGTGCGGTCCCGAGACTATCCGTTAAAAAAATCATGGATCAGTAGGACAACCCTCCTCTAAACAACACCGGGCATGGATAATGTAGACAGCACCCCACATGGAGATTTAAACTTTTACCCCCTTCAATCCCCAACCCCCAATTTTTAACCCCTGCACATTTTTTTCTGAAAATGACCAGGAGCCTCTAAAATAGCAAAAAACGATGTCTGATCTTTTTTTTTTTATACTCCAACTACCACGAAGGCCTAAAGCCTAAGCACCCATTGGGTACCGTGGGGCTATGGGGGATACATGGGAAAGGGGGCACGCCACACGGACTCTGGCGAGAGAACACGTGTGCATGCAACATGCACACATTCTGGCTCCGCCTACGAGAACCGCCGGGTGGTACCTCCGCGTTCGACAGTCAGAGACCATCTACCACCTACGGACAATCACAACATCCATGGCCAAGAGAAACATTTCTCCTGGGACGGGACTCGAACCCGCACAGCGCACGGCGACTGATCAGGAGACCGAAGAGTCTACTACTGCGGTCACCGCTGCTGCCTAAAACAAACATCCATGGCGAAGGCGAGATTCGAACTCGCGGCCCGGCCGGCCGGCTGATCAGTAGCACGACACTCTGACCCACGCGGCCAACCGAGGTCCCGAATTTATGATCGATTTATATTTTCTTTTTTATCCCTTTTTGTCGTCTCTGTATCGATTCCTGAAAAGTTTTTCGTGCTTGGCATTAGTAATATTGTGTAAATGTTTCATCGAAATCCGAGCGGTACTTTCCAAGTTATAGATGGGCCAAGGCTTAGCGAACAAATCGACAGACAGATAGGGAGACGGAGAGACCAATAGACAGACCGACAGAAATGAGTCCCATGGTCTTTCGTGATTTACAACATCGAAAAAAGAAGATATCATATTTTCGAAATTTTTCGCAGTTAAAATATTTTCCCGCCAGTAAAACGAAAAACGTACATAAAACTACTATAATATACTGTGTGACAAAAAAGGTAAAGACCTACGTATGTTTATTAGAATTCAAGAATTTCTTACATATCGATTTATCTTGCGATCAACAACGAGTGATAAAATGGTCAGGTGTTTCTGTTAACTGTTGTAAGCATCCAGTTTTCATACATTTACAGTGTCAGTTAAATGTTAAACTTCGTGTAGCTTAGTGTGAAGCCTTTTGTGATTGCTCAAAATGCCTAAGTGCGTAGAATTCCCAGCTAAGTGACTTTGAGAGGGGTCGAATTGTCGGATTGCGTGAAGTCAGTCTATCGATAAAAGAAGTTTCTAGGAGGACCAATGGATCCTTACGCAGTGTGAACGAGCGTTGACTCAGGAAGGCCAAGGACAGTGGGCGAGGGGTTCTGGACGTCCCACAGGGACCACAGAGCGACAAGACCGCCGATTAAGTCTCTCAGAGACAGAATCAGTAATACTTGAGCCATCGCTAAATAATCAGTGGATTAAAGAGCATGGAAGGATGGTTGGCATGGGTACGGTATATCGTCAAATATGACAGTTTGGCTTTGGGAGTTATGGTAGGGGGTGCTATTGCTTATGGTAGCAGATCACCACTCAGTTTCATCAGAGGCAATATGACAGCCCAACGCTATATTCAGGAAGTAGTAGAGCCTCATCTTATTCCTTACCTAAACACCATCCAAACCCCGATTTTTCAGCAAGACAATGCCAGACCGCATGGTGCCAGAGCATCGTTAGCCGTCATGGATCAATATGGCATCAACTGTTTACCTTGGCCACCACGATCACCTGACCTATCCCCAATTGAACATGTCTGGGACATGATAGGTCGCAGACTCTTGAATTTGAAACACCCTCCACAGACTTTAACAGCTCTTACTCACGAAGTTGCAGTAACCTGGAATGAGATGTGCCAACAGGATATCGACCACCTTATCAGCACGATGCCCAGGCGTGTCATTGCGTAAGTAAGAAATCGTGGATCCTCAACAGATTATTGAACTAGCTTCTGCAGTCAGTCAGCTGACGAATCAAGCTGAAAATTTAATCATTTTGGTAGTAAGGGATACTGAACATGTATGCCAAAAATTATAAAAATCGGATAAACATACGTGGGTGTTTACTTTTTCTTGACACTCAGTATAGCTTACAACAAGGTTTACAATTAATTATGAAGTATTGTTATTACAGATGATGTGTACATCCTTTCTCATTTCAGTTCACATAACCTCAGTGCCACCTGAAAGATTGTCAGTCTTTTTATGATACGCTTCCAACGATTCGCTACCGGTCCTGTTGCTTATTCAAATCCGGCGAGGGCCAACAAAAGGCTTTGATGTGCCTTAATGTCTCCCGACTGACACATCATCAATTATGAGGTAACCGTGCTGACACTGCGTGCATTGAATTACCGCCTTACTTAGACAGACAATGCTGAAAAATGTATAGCATTGTTGATTCTCACGTGAGAGAAGCGACAGACAATGGCTCTACGGTTTGTTTGTCATGCTGGATTACATTTGGGAGAGAAGTTGAAAGTAGAGCGGTTTTTAGGTCCGCCTGTTGGGGCGTCAATGCAACCGCTTGGATCTGCAACTAGTTGAACGTCCGTTTCAGAATCCCCCTTCTAATAATGGAACTACAATATAACAAACTATATAAATTCATACATCCACGTGTACGAGCCCCTTCCCACTTCAGTTGGCCCAACTATTGAAATCTTAGTTTTTTTCTTATCAAACACAAATAATAAAAATGTAGCAGGGTGTTATAGGTTTAAAATATTAACAATGAATGCTTTGATAATATATAGTAGAAAACACCGACTTTATCACTCCCTAATCAAATTTGCAGCATAAAAATAACGCATGTTGCAATTACAGCATATCAACCTATTTTCATTTCAATGCAAAATAAGTCTATAACGCATAGGTGGCTGTGAAAAATAAAAGCCATGACAATTGTTCTTATTAATCACAGCTGTCAGAATACGTTTAAAATAGTTTTGGGTAGTTAAGGTTTTTAAAATGGGTCGAGGAAAGGTTATTAGTGAGAAAATTCGGTTACTGATAATTAAATTTTTTAATTCTGGGAAATCAAACTCAGAAATTGCAACTTTGTTAGACTTATCACGGTACAGTGTGAGAAATATTGTTAGAAGATATAACGTAACTGGATCAGTTAATATTAAGCCACGATATGTGTAAAAAAGTAATAAGTAATATCACAAATGCCGAGCATTAAGAAGAATAATCGTGAAAAACAGGCGTACCAATTATTTACAATTAAGTGCTCTGTGGAGTGACGCTGTTGGAAGGAGAATTTCGAGGTCCACAACTCATAGAGAGGCCCACAAACTGGGATTTAGCACTTGCAAGGCAAGTCTTCTTATAAAAAAAGTGAAGTAAAAACCCTAAAGTTGCACAACTTGTTTATAGGTCAAAGAAAACCCACTATTTAATCCACTGCAAAAGAAAAATCGGCTTAGATGGGCTAAAGAACATAGACAATGGACACTTCAACAATGGTGTGCAATACAATGGAGTGATGAGGCCCGATTCGAAGTTTGTGTTGGTGGAAATATATGGCCATTTTAGAAGAATCGCTTTTACCAGTGATGGAAGAATATTTGACATCCGGCCAAGATTTTGTGTTTCAGCAAGATGGTGCAGCGTGCTATACCTCAAAAAAGACTATAAAATGGAGGTAAGAAAATAATGTACCACTTTTGAAACGGGTTTCTAGCAGTCCAGATCTGTCACCTATTGAAACTTTGTGGCACGAGATGAAACGACATATTTATACAACATCCTGTTCGTACAATCACCTAACTGAGAAAAAGCTTCAAGAAATATGGGACTGTTTTACACCAAATTTGGTTAACTTGGTTAACACTATGCTTCAAAGAATTTCAGCCGTAATAAAAAATAAAGTTGATGTTACCCAATGGTAATCTTTCAATTGCTGCTTTGTTAACTTCGCGCATTTATTCGCACATTGTTTATTTGTTCAGATGGTCTATTAGTTGTATGTCTAAGTGATTTCAAATATGTATTTTTTACGACTAGAGTGTATTAAAATGTTTTTGAGAAAATAAATTGTTTTAGAAGTAAATACCTTCGTCATGTTTAGTTTATAAAGACATATTTTGGTACAAATATTAAAGTGGACCAACTGAAGTGGGAAGGGGCTCGTAGTAGTCTTTCCAAATCCTACTTTATTATATTATAATGATATAGCATTATAAGTGAGAACATTTGGACGTTTGTTACTTAATCACGCCAGAATGGCTAGACGGGTCTGGATGAACTTTGGTACAGCGGTAGATATTCGGTGGAACAGCACAAAGGGTTTATCCCGGATAATAATATATATTTCACAGTCCAAACACCTGACTGGAATTTGACATGTGTCTGGCGTGAAAGCCCTCAGTCATTGGTCCGACCAAAATGAGTAAGGGTCTGTAAATAAGGCATTTGCATTGTGCAGTTAAAATGGGATAGTGTATGTTCCGTTTTTATTGAAAAACGACTGAAACTATATTGATGAATTTAATCATAGATATAGACTGGACCTTAAAAACGGGAGAAAATTGAAGGGGCTGAAATAGGACGTGAAAGCTACTATGTTGAAGCTATTATTCTATAAGTTAGAGATACAAAAGTGGGTTTCGTTTATTTGGTTGTTTCATATAATATAAACGTGCAGTTACAAAGAAATGTTGGAAATTCCCCCTTAAGGACGGACAATCTCGGAACCAATTCGCGCCGACGGGCCGTCAGAGTTCTAGCTCTCTACCACTACGCCAAAGGGCTTTGCTCCTCAGAGCTCTGCTCCATGTTGCTACCGCGTGATCTGCTAGCCGGACAGACCCCCCTGATTTCGGTCTCCTAACTCATACGTGTCGAATTCCGTACATCCAGAACTGGCCGATACGACCGCTCATCAGTCCCTAGGGTATCGAGATTGTGGAACACTATATGAGGGGGGTTTTTCCAGTCATAATAACATTAACAATGTTTCTTTAAATCTCTCATAGCAGCCGCGATGCCCTGGTAAGAACAGCTTTGTGTTCCAAATCGTATTGCCTCAAGTTCCCAAAGGTTGTAAATTCAAAGTATTTAGCGACAAATTAGACGACTGCGAACTTTCGGAGGCTTCGGTCGATTCTAGATGCATACAGCTCCATTGCTACTGGTTCTTATTTCATGTGTTGCACTAATTTTTGACATTATTGAATGGCTAACGTTCTTCTTGTTTAA